TTTCACGTTGTGTCATCCTTTTCCTCTCACTTATCACTCAACTTATCTGAGTTAAAGTTCATTTCAAATTGACTCTTAGTTTATTTACTGTTTTTACTGTACTTACTGTTTTAAAAATATGATTTAAAGGTCCACAAGCATCCCCATTCACATTTCCCCCTAAATTTTCATGTTATATGTTTACATTATTTATTGGCGGCATCTAAAAATATTTTGATATTTTTTATGAAATAATACAATATAACCGATATAATTTAAATGATATCATTGTACTAGGTCATGAAATCAACTCAGTTTAATCTGTCAAATAAGCTGCCTGTAGTGTCTTTAATTGTCCAGCAGGTGTCAGTATTCTGTGAGACAGTATCGATGCAGCATCAATACAGTTTGGCAATGTGTCGAAACACTTCAAGATGTCTCATTAACCAATCACCACTGACTATTAAAGGTATTGTGGAGGATTTTCATTTTCGCACATAAAAAAAAAAAAAAAAAAGCATGCAAGAGTGTGCACGAGCTCTTTTCTCCCCGAGCATGCTCTGTTTAAAAGTTGCTGTTCCAATAGTTCATACAAGCTTATTGTGCCCGAAAGGTCCTCCCTAACCACTAAAACCCTTGATCACTATATAGAGCTGGGCCATATAGTGGACTTTATAGCAAACGGTTAACCTACCGTTCGGACCGATGATCACTGCTTTTTGCTCCCCATTGCTTACATAACTCCTCGTCCACCGCGCGGTACCTGCGCCATCTTTGTTAGTAGTCGCCGCTGACGAGTAGCGACAGCCTATAGGCCAATTTATACTTCTGACGCATAGCCTCTGCAACCGTCAAATCTGTCTCTGTGCACAACCACGCCCCCCTGCGCAGAGGCTCTGCAACAGTCGTCGAGCACCTCAAAAAAAATTCCGACTACACGTCGGATGTCGAGCAGAAGTGCGCAGACAAAAAGCAGCTGTGATTGGTCCTTGTTATGCCTTTCCGCCTGTCTGTGTGGTTCTCTTCTCGATTCGTTGCCAGGGCGCGCCATTTAAAAAAAATGAGGAGTAATAACAACAATGTATAACCACGACGAAAGTTTGATCGAGAAGGTTTCGGAAGTACAACGACTTGTACAATGCCTCAGACATGTTTTGAAAAACCAGCTACAGAAGTTCTTGTGATCATCTGTCTAAGTTCTCGCGAGTTCTCTAAAAGGCTCCCCCTAGCACTTTGGTGGGAAACTGCTGTGCGTCCCTACAGTAGAAATTCCAGACTTATGTTGCAGAAGCATACCAGCAAAACTGGTTCACAACTAGACGCAAGCACCATTTGATGTGTGCGGTTGCAGAAGTATAATTTGCCCTTAAGGTGACAGTGGCCCGCTGTGACACCAAATCCCATAATAATTCTGGGATATATCTGCCTCTTCTAAAGCCTTTCTTTTCTTCTCATACACTTCGTAGACACTTTTTCTATTATGACCCTCAGCCGTTTTCAAAGAACCGCGGTGAGAAAGGTGAGCTTCAATGACTGTCCGAAACACCACTCGCGACTGAAAGTTCACATATGCAGAAAAAGCTAACGAGCTAGCAAATAGAAAGGCCTTACGTAAACATATCACCAGAATAATTGACAATTGGGAGGACCACTTATTTAGATGATCCACCCGGAAATAAAAGATTGTCCTCTATACCATTAAAGACGTAACATATAAAGTTACCTTAATTGAATAAAATTTTTCTTTAGTTACAGCAAAAGCTATAAACACAACCCATTGATGTGAACATTATTATACGGTATACATTTTTACTGTTCGGAAGAGGCTAACCGGAATAAAAATGGCGGCCTTTAAAGAATGACACAAAACCTCTGCGCCATAAGTTTAAACCCAACATTTCAGTTGAAATTAGCATTCAGGATGTATATTAAACCTATTATCAATGATGTTAAGGTTAAAAATAAACAGGACACCAAAGTGAAAACAGTTCCAATTTTGGAAGCCAAGGTAACATTTGGGACTTATTTGTGGCTAAAACTCCAACTCAGCCTTAACATTAGACCCATATGGTGTTCACTTAAACATAGCATCCTCTGCTATTACATAACTCCTATTCAATCTGCAAACATTTTTCCAAAACCTTCCTATGTCGCCTGCCTATAGAGAGCCTACACAAAGCGAAAGCTTGCACTAACTGTTATTTGTGTAGTCTAAAATTACACAGTGGGCGGGAAACGTCCCCACGTGTGTCAGAAGGGGCTGTAATTGGGCTGAGAGTCTCTGGTTAAAAGGCGAGGGGCAGACACACTGCAGCAGAGGCTCCTACCAACACTTTCTCCTCTGCCTGCTGGTTCTGTTGGAACAAAAACAGAGAGAAAGAGAGAAAGGCAAAATTTTCCAGGCAGACAGCTCCTGCTCAAACATCCAGTGCACTGTAACTCTTTTTGGACGCACAGAGACACTGCGTCCATCCAGGCGACAAGAAATCTCATTTACAAGCCACTCAGCAGGGTAAGTGATTGTTTTCTTTTCATTTATGAATGAAACACTTCAGTTAGTTTAGTTTTGTGACAAATCCACAAGCTTGAAGTATAACTAAATAGACTCTTTATCCTTTATGGCAGTGTTTACCAACCTTTTTTGACTTGTGTACGCCTTATTGATGATTGTCCAAAAGTGAAAAGTAGAATAACTGATTATAAAATAAAGAGTATTTCACTTAATCTTTTAATTTCAGTATTTAATTCTTATCATTTTATGCTTTCTAATCTCAAAGAAAAAAACAACATGAATATGTTCCCTGGAAGGTAGTACGGAATCAAAATAAATGCTAAATAAAAATGCTGTAATAAACCTCTATTTATAAAACTGGAGCTCCTCTCCTCCCTTAGAGTCAGAATTAATCTTGATGAATTGGGAACAAAATGCAGAACAAAAAATACAGTCAAACTGACTTAATTAGTTTTATTCTGTTTTCATCAAGACACCTGAGCTGCTTTGATAATGAGCTCAGTGTTAGGCTTGATGTGTAAAAACTGAAGGTGAACACAAATATATAAGAAAAACTTTATTTTTCGTTGATAAGAGCTTGTTTAATTTATCAATTGGGTCCTCACAAAGCAAAAAGATCCCAGAACTATTTAATTTTACTCCCTAAGAAATTGAATATTTTCATGTACCCCTTGCAACGCACTCGTGAACCACTAGAGGTATGCGAACCACCTTTTGGGAAACACTGCTTTATGATATAAAAGCAGATACAGAATTTATCCTAATAAGAGCATTTATCATATTTCTAATCATATCCAGATTCAGACTTCAAACTTGGTACGCAGGTCACAAGACCTTGCTTGCCCGGCTGACTAAGGAACAAAATAATAGTTAATTCTGTTTGATAAAAGCAGGTAATAAAGACCTGAGGGCTTTATGGGCTGGTGCTCTGATGACACAGGAATCTTACAGGAAACTGAAATGATTCATCAGTGGAGTTAATCGGTGCCCTTACATTATTTTTAAGAGATTGTCTATAATCAAGGAGGTGTAACTTTTCTGTTGCCTCAAGCATTCTGGAAATGCAGGGAAGTAATTGTTTTGTATGACCTCTCTTGCTGTAAACTATTAACCCTATTTTGGTGCTTAGAGTATTATTAAAAGATTTAAAAAAAATTTTGTTGATTTTTTGCTCATTTATGAGGAAATGGTCTCACTTATGTTGGGGATCTAGAGGTAATATTTAGCCTATGGATTTTCATATTGCATGACTTTTAGACAAAAGTTCTTATTCTATATGATGCATCATTTACTTATTTACTTATATCAATATGTTTGTTTTTACACAAATTGTTGTTGTTGGTTTCAGCCCAGTAACTCCTATATAAAATTACCGTATATTATAACACTCCACACATTCATACAAGATTTTTAATGATCCCAACTAGACACTGATTTAAACATTTTCATTTGGTTTCTGCTGCAGGAAATTCTCACTCTTTAGTGTTAACTGACTAAATATAATATCTTTATAAATTGTTTTGAAGATAGGGTGACCCTCTGGATCAAACTCAGCTATCCTGAGCGTTTCTTTTTCATGTTCAGCGGGGGCATTCGATGGTCACGGTCTGCAGGTCGGCTGGGGTTCGGCAGCCCCAGCTGACACTCATTCTTTATCTCAGGAGTGGCAGGAAGCTCTGTTTAGCCATGGATAAGCAAACAGTCCTTGCCCTTGCAACAAAGGGAATGTGTCTATTTCTGTGAATTATTTCAGTATTATGGTAAGAAAGGATAGAAAAGAGTGTTGAAACGGTGTTATCCTTTTCCACTTGGCACCAGCTTAAAAGTTAGAAATGTCTGTGTCATTTAAATTCCCCATTTAGAGTGGTGTGAAAACTGCAAACTGACCAGAGTATTGCAGTTCAAAACATCATACCGAATTTTATATCTAAATTAAGTTAATTTAGTTGATTCTAACAAAAAGCTTGTGATAAAATAAAAATGTCCATATGGAACAGAACTATAAAAAAAACTACAGGAGAGATTAAATCTATCAGATCAAAATTAAGCTAAGTTTGTTCATCTTTTTTTAAAATCCTCTGCTTGGCATTCAACAGATTGCTTGAACTCTTCAAAACTGCAGCAGAAGTGGTGAAACTTCCAATTCCTTATCATATCTATAATGAATGGATACACATTGCAAAGCAACCATGCAGTTTTCTTTAGATTTGTTTTTTTGGCTGCAATAAAAAGCTGTTTCACTTCCAGCTTGATGATAAAACTTCCCATTGCTCTGCCGAACAAACAGCTTTACACACTTGGAAATATTTTGGGAAATGCTTGCAGGCAGCATGTTTGCTGACAGCCAAAACAGTTTTAGTCAAGGACCTCGTAAAGCCTCACTCTGCCCTTGGTTTCGTTTCATCCACATTGGCCAAAGATTCAGATATCATGTCCGGGTCTTAAGTTGCGATACCTGAAAGCACAGAGTTAACCATTTTAATTTGTTGTCTTCTTCCTTTTAGACAGAACACGACAAAGATGCTCCTTCCTCTGATTTTCCTGCAGCTGCTTGTGGCCCCTGCATTCATGGTAAAGTTGTTCAGCTATAAATAAATCTACAGTAAGACCAGAAAAGTCTGAAAAAGTAAAGTTTACATTTATTATTCTTTATATTATTATTCTTTATATTCCCCCAAATGCTAATAATCTAGTGTGGTATTCTCTAAATATTTATTTGGAAGGTCCTATTCAGCTTTAATAACCACTGATATTTTAAACATTTTGCCACATTACTTAAATAGATGTTTGAAGGATTGTACTTGATTGACCAATGCAAGCAGGAATGTTAGGAATACACGTTAGAATACGTGGTCAATACAAATGAACATGTATTAGATCCATATGAGGCCCATTTACTCTGATCAGTTTCCTTCTGAGGTCACCCAACTAGAAGATTTGAGAGTTTTGCAGTTTAACTTTAGTGAACCAACATCAGCAAAAAGAAAAAAAACAAGATCTGTGGTAACTCTGGAGGAGCTGCAGAGATTCCACAGCTCGGGTTGGAGAATCTCCCATAAGCTGGTGCTCCACAAATCTGACCTTTATGGAAAAAGTGTGTGAAGAGATCACTATTGACAGTGAACCATGTAGAGGATGCCGTTAGCGTTTATATATCAGCATTACGAACATTAGCTGATCATCCTGAGCACATAATCTTTGTCATGAAAGAAGCTAGTGGCAGCATTATGCTGTGGGATGATTTTCTTTCTCAGAAACATTGATCAGACCTTATAGGAAGATGGATGAATGGAAAAAAAATCAGTTTGGGCAGCAAAGGTCTTTACATGATTGGGGTTCAATGGCCCTAAACATACAGCAGTGATAGTGTTTACAAGAAACATTGTTGATTTTCAAAAAAAACATGGCCCAATAAATCATTCACATAGAGTGAGATGAATACAGATGCACACCACACTTTTCAGCTTCATTTTTTCTATTAAGTTATGGAGGTTTTGTTTTCCTTCCACCTCACGATTATGAATTTTTTTTTTGTGTTAGTCTTTTACATGAATTGTTAATATTATACAACGAAGTCTGCGGTCGGGGCATTAAATATATATAACTATACATACATTCATAACTATGAATGTATGGAGTGCATTTTGTTCCATTATTGTTGCAAGCAAAGAACACATTTTTTAAATGTAAGTTTAACACACTACATTGTTGACTGAAATTTCAAAGAAATGCAATCCTGATATGAAACTTGAAAATGTTTTAATAAAAAAAGAGATTTTTAACAGAATTTTGTATTGTGTTCACAAGCCCAGTGCAAATGATCACGCTAAACGTGTACATTGACCAATACCATGCTGTTGCTAACATCCATACAGACCAATAGGAATGCAGATTCGCTCCTCAGATGAAAGTCTGACTTCATAGGAAAGTAAAGACAATGTGATCTGTAAAACTCAATTTGAAAATAAAGCAGAGTGTGAAACTCAATCTGAAAAAGACAAATTAGAAACCGACAAAACCACTGAACTACCACAAAGCCAGATGTCTGTGCTGTAATGACGCGAGGAAAACCGACAGCTCAGAGGTAGCCCAGTAGCACAGTTAGCATGAAATGTACTTATGTATCTATCAACTTTACTACACCATCAGATTGCCCCCAAATTTTAGCTCTGGCCTTAGTGAACTCCAACACTTAGACTCTTTTTCAAGTGCAAATAGATTTTTTTATTTTTTATTTTTCCCCTGCTATGGTAAATATACATAGAGGAGGCCTTAATTTGTCATAAAAACATTGTATGCAACCAAAATCAGTTACTGATGTATTAATTAAAAAAAAATATTGAATAACATGACTATGTACCTTTAATGCTTAAAACTTTTAGACAAAATAAGTAAATACAATTGTATTATAAAATGCACAAGTTAAACTCCTTACTTATGCAAAATATAAAAGGTACTTTCTTATGCACCCAGGTGCCCAGTCTGGATTACTGGGATGCATGGGGTCCCTATGGAGAGTGCAGTCGGAGCTGTGGTGGTGGTGTGACCGTTAGAACAAGGCGCTGTATCACTCAGAGGTACCTTTTCTATTCTCTATGTTTTATGCACTGTACCTGTTGATAAAATGCTGAATTTCACTCATAACCTGACAGACTTTTATTATGATACGGTGTACTGAGATGCCCTCATTCTGTCAGCATTTTCTTTCACATGTGCTGAAAGGAAACTGAGAATCATTATCTGTGTTATGAACTGAACTCAGCAAAGATGATTTTCTCAGTTGGGTGTTGGCTCCTGAAAAGGATCAGTTTGGCGTCAACATTCCATCCACACTTTTGACGGGCACAAGTTTTCTCATGAACGGGTTATGTTTACCTTTTAAGGTATCATTTTCATAATTTTAGGTCTTATTTGTTTCAAATGCTGCTACTTTTCCTTCTGAGTGCCACAAGATACATTATGACATATCGGTTAATGCTGACATTTAAATGTAATATTTCTCTGTGACAGTTGTTTTCATAGCTGTTTTTCTTGAATTCAAAAGGCACATTAGCTTTTGTAATCCCTAAAGGCATATAATTTGCATAGCGTGTTTGCCCTCTTCTTAGCAGCTCTGCAGATACTTAGATCCATACAATACTGTCACACTATAGTTTAACAGGTTTTGGTTTTTAAAACTGTATGATGACACAATGGCATAGAAACATAATGCTCCTGCTCTACTTTTCCTCGCATTCTACAATATAGACTTCGCAGGATGCTCACATTTAAGATTAGGTTACATATTTTTTGAACATATTGAAAATTTATAAATTTCTAGAACCATGCAGAGTGCCCACTGTTGCTGCAGGATTTGTGCAACTGTGACTCAAATATCGCGGCAAACACCCAGCAATAACATTAGGCATATTCTCACGCAGCTGTGCTGTTTTGCCTGCACTGATGAAGACGCACTCACCTCGACATGCCTGCTACTTGAAACTTAAAGTGAAACCAGCAGCTTGGCTTACTTTCTGATTATATAGGCTAGTAATTGGAATCCTGGCATGGACTTGATCTGATAAACAAACAAAAATTTGTCTTCTCATAAAAATTAGGATGTTGGCCTGATTTCAGTGTAGCCGAGATAACTCTCAGGGTAACGTCCCGCCCGCTATGCTCTAAGTTGTCGCTGCATTAAAATAAGCATTTACACCCCCACATGTTTTCATGTTTAAACCGCAGTCCTCAATGGATTTGGTTGAGATCTAATTTATTTAACACAAACTTGTCCTCACCCCCTTTTACTCGAATACCCCCCATTTAAAATCTTTTGCTGCCATTTTTTTCTTAGACTAATTTCATTAAGTACATTTTCTACAGCTCAGTTCTTTCATTTATTTATTTATTTTTTTTACTTAAAACATTATCATACATAGCTTGTTAGGTTTAAGGCAGAATTAGATTACACATAAAAAAGGAGACAAAAGCAACCAATGCGCAACTCACATTAATGAGAAAAGCAGCGAAGAGGCTCGTGATAACTGGAGGCATTGCAGAGATCTGCAGCTCAAGTGGAAGATTCTGTCAACACAGCAACTATTATTTGTGCCTGAATCTGAGCTGTAATGATAAGTGGGTAGGTACAGCCATTAGAGAACGCATCATACACATGGTGATAAATAGATGGGAGAATGGGGTGGAGGTTCAGCTACCGCAGGACAACAATCCCTCAGCGTACAGCCACACTTTACTATATGCTTTAGTTCAAAGTATATCTGTGGGTTAAAATTGTCTAGTCAAAGTTTAGAACTTATCAATCTCTAGATCTCTAGATGTATTTCAGTTGTAATGGTGAAAGATGGTTCTCCACCTCTATTATGTGTGAGAAATTAAGAAAATCATGTATAATTCTCTTCAGAATTACTTTCTATTTTGTGTTGACCTGTCACTGCGGTGAACCTCCGCTGGGCTATCAAAACGAAGATGCGTTAAGCAATCTCTTTACGGGGATTTAATAAAAACAACAATTTTGCTGTTTCTCAACATGTCTGCACAGTCAGTCAGTGAGTCAGACAGTCTGGAGGTGAGTGATTCCGCTCTACACCTCAGTGATCATGAAAAGCAGGGAGATGCCCAGCCCATTGCTCCCATCTTTAATGAACTCTGCCATATCTTGTCTCTCAGTCCCAGGTTCGCCTGAATCACTCCTTTAAACACAGTGATTTAACATGTTGAATCATTATGTACTTTACAGGAACTCCCATTTCACCGTGTCTTCATTTTAGAAGAAAAATTACTTCCAACTGGAGGCTTTTTTCCATGTTTGTGAAAAAAATACAACAAAAATAAAAAACGGTTTGCTATGACAAGTCATTGAACTTTTCCTCCATATTTTTTTCCATCTATCAACTTGAGCAGAACATGTCGGACTTTGCATTCTTTTGTGAAAGGTTTATCAGAATGGTTGTTTTGACGTGTTGTAGTCTCAGATCTGGCATGCTGAGAGGAACGTGCCTTGCTCCTGCCAGCCTGAGGGCGGCATCTGTTTTTTTTTTTTTTTTTTTTTTTTTTTTTTACAAAGATGGCCTAATAATGCACTTGCGCTGAATGGGAATGAAGAACCTGCAGATGATATTTACCGCTGAAACTAGCTATTTCTGCATAACTATGGAGCTGTAACTCCATGTAACCTCTGTAAATAGTCCTTTGCTCACATTCCTAAACAGTGATAAGACGGTTCTGCTAACATTTAAAGACATAAGATGAAAAATAGGACTTGCATTCATTTGTAGATCAGCTTGTGACAGACTGTATGTTCTTTAGTTGCTTTAAAGATTAGTTTCGTCTCTTAGATTGACGCTTGAACCTTTCAACTCCCTCAGGATTTAGGTTGCTGTTGATGTCCCTCTATGTGGAAATGTTCAAAAGATATAGGTGCATGCACTTTATTTATATTTCCCTACTTAGGAGTTTTAAATTATATCATTTTTTAGTGCATTAGCATTTCTGGGCAGTTTATCATGTATTTTCTGTGCACTACACGTGTATCATTATGGGGTTTTCAAGAAAATAAAATCACACTGATGATATAGAGGTGTGCATGCATCAAATATGATACACTTGGCGTTATAGGAAGTCTGTTTTACAAGGCAATGATAGCTAAGGCAGTTTGCAAAATACTGCTCTGTTCTATATCTGTTAATTAAAGGTACACACTGAATTACACTTCAAATAGTTTTCTTACTGTGCCACTGTTGCTTATTGTTTCTACCTTAATAAAAAAGGTTCTATTTAGCAGAACCTTTATAATTAAAGCCCAATGATGTTATGTTTTTTTTTTCTCCTTTGATGCACACAGGACTGATGGAGGGCATAACTGTGTGGGCCCAGACAAGTCTTATCGCATCTGCAACATCCAGGTGAAGAAAGAGAGAAACTCCTTATTTTATGTCTGAAATCTGTTTTTCATACATGGCAGTTTATTAAGCTTTTGGCTTTAATTGTTCCTCAGTATTCGATGCTTGGACTGTGAAGTATTGTTTTAATGGAATGAGACAGAGACAGTATTTGTTTATTTAGCTAATAATTAGACCATTATTTGATCCAGTAATTGTGTCTGGATGACTAACCTTCAGCCTGTCTGTTCCAATCAGGATTGTCCAGAAGGATCCAGGGATTTCCGGGAAGAGCAGTGTTCACAGTTTGACGGGACTGACTTCCAGGGAAAACGCTACAAGTGGCTTCCATATTATGGAGGTCAGAATTAGTTTTTGGTCACATCTTTGGACACTTTTTCACTACTTACGATTTAAAGTAAAAGTAATTTCTTTATTTTCTGTACAGCAGAGAATCCCTGTGAGCTGAACTGCATGCCAAGAGGTGAAAACTTTTACTACCGCCATCGCAGCTCTGTCGTTGACGGTACACCCTGCCACCCGGGACGGAGGGATATTTGTGTGGGGGGAGTCTGTAAGGTAATTTTCTGTGAACAGGGCCAATGCAGATCTCACAGATGAACAAGGCAGAAGACAACCTTGTTAAATCTGAACACCAATCTTTGCTTCTCCCTTCTATAGATCCAAGACACTTCTATAAGATACATGACATACTTTTAAGATCTTTGTTAGTGAAAAAAAATAGATTGACTAGATTGAGCATTTATTATTATACTTCTATTTTATCAACCCTTGTTTACTCAAACCTGAACAAAAAAGCCCCCTAATGAACTGCCTTGAGGTTTTTTGTTTTCTAAGGAACTAGCTGTTCTGTCAAGTGCAACATTTTCCAGCAGGTCAATCAAGGTTGTTCTGCAGAGATTATGTTCATGTTTATGGTTCATTTTGTTTTCATGATTAATGGCTCGAGCTAAAGGGGCTTTGTAGCCTCTAACAGTGATGTGCAGTATACTCCTGACTGTCCATTTACTTTAAAATTCACACTTTAAAAACGAATTATGTATAGTTTTTACTTGTAAACAAAACCATTCCACACTAAGTTTAAAACAAAGCAAAGCCCACGTATAATAATGTTCTCACTTGATTTCTTCTATATAATTCAGCAAAATGCATAAAATTCTCTCGGTAAAAACTGTAATATTAGAATGTCCTTTTTTCTGGCAATATATGTATTTTCTCCTACTTTGAGCAGGTAATTAAGACCATTTGCCAATGGAATAAGATGATTTATTTTTAAAATAAGGGACAATATCTGATTTTAAGTGCATAATATAGTGTACTAGTTATCATATCGGGTCGCGGGGGGAGCAGCCTCAGCAGAGACTCCCAGACTTCCTTCTCCACAGACACCTCCCCCAGCTCCCCTTGGAGAAGCCCTGGGTGATCCTCTAGGCATACTCCCATTGGGACATGCCTGGAACACCTCCTGAGGAAAGGGGTCCAGGAGGAATCTGAAAAAGATGTCCAAGCCACTTCAAATGACTCCTCTTGATGAGGAGGAGAATAAGCTGTATTCCAAGCCTTTCCTAGATGACCAAGCCCCTCACCCTATCTCTAAGGGAGTGCCTAGCCACCCTATGGAGAAAACTGTTTCGGCGGCTTATATCCGGGATCTCGTTCTTTCTGATCCAGATAAAATTATCATAGATGAGGGTAGGAATGTAGACCGTCTGATAAATCAAGAGCTTTGCCTTTTTGCTGAAGTCTCTCTTCACCACAACAAACTGTTGCAGCATCTGTATTATAGCAGTATCCACACAGATTTGTATATCGATCCCCCGCTCCAGCCGAAAGTTGATCTCTCCTCCAACCTGATGGCCTCCTGACAGGCCCCCTTTTTCCAATCAAGAACCATGGCCTTGGACTTGGAGGAGCTGATTCTCGTCCCAGCCTCTTTTTACTCGGCTGCCAACAGCCCGAGTGCCTGCTGTAGGTCAGAAACTATGGTTTTTCTCCATAGTCTCTCCAAACTCCATGCAAGCCTGAGTTTTTGCCTCTATAACTGGCCTAGCAGCAGTGTGCTTGGCCTAAGGATACCGCCTTGCTGCCTCAGGAGTCTCACCAGCCAGCCCGGTTTGATAGAACTCCTTGTTCAGTTTGACAGAATCCCGTTCTACCTCATGGCCACAGGTATGAGTGGCTACATCAACAATGGGGGCAGAGTACATAGCCCACTCAAACTCCATGTCTCCATCCTCCCCCAGAACCTGAATTTTGGGGAGGATGTTGTCACCCCAGGTGACTGAGAGCTCAATTAGATGTTCCCAGCAAAGCCTAACTACTTGTTTTGGCCTAAAAATTCTGTCCAACTTCCTCCCCTTCCATCGTATCAGCCCAGTACCAGGTGGTGATCGGTGGACAGCTCCGTCCCTCTCTCCACCAGAGTGTCTCAGACATGTGACTGAATGATAAAAAAAACACCATCCGGGTTCGGAGCTAGGGGGGTGTTCCTCATGATTACACCCATCCATGTCTCACTGTCGTTTCCCACATGGGTGTTGAAGTCCACCAGCAGAGTTATGGAATCCCTGGAAGGGGGGCTATCCAACACCGCCCTTCGGGGATGATCTCGCATTACTCATTTGGGCTGGACCCTGCCGGGTCTATGAGGAAGAACCTGACAACCAGGCGCTTGCTGATGAACCCAAACCCCAGGCCAGGCTTCAGGGTAGGGTCCTGGCTATGCCGGACCAGGACGCGTCACATGCCTCAATCTTATAGTCAACATGGGGGTTTTGAAGCACTATTTGCCTGACCCATTACCCAGAGCCTGTTTACCTTGGCAGACCCTAAGCAGGGGCATTTAAGCCCACCAACCACATGGAGTCCTGGATCATCTGGGCACTGGAACCCCTCCAGTAAGTACTGGAGGGGTTCCAGTGCCCAGATGAATAATGTTTAATTATGTTTTTAATAATTTAATTTTAAGGGCAAGAATATTCATTCTGGATGTTTTTTGCAGCCACAGGGATGTAGCAATCTGGCAAGAAAATCGAAGTACAACAGCAAACTGTCTAATAACATCCTAATTGCTCCTTCATGGTGCTTTTGGTCAATTACAGACGCAGCAGGATGATATCTCATTGGTTCATAACTGCTCTGAAATCCTCACTGAGAGCATCAGGTTGTTAATCAGAGAGGACAAGCTCAGAGAAATGCAGCAGCAGGGATGAAGATTAGCTTCACTATGTAGTAACGTCAAACACCTGTTCCTGCCACATTCTCAGATAATTATAAATGCAGTTTATCAACCTGTTCCTCCTTGACCTGGTCTGTTTAGCCTTTGACTCAAGGTCTCTTTTACTCTCTCTGCTTGCATTCTGAGTACTTTGTGCTGTAATGTAATGTTTTTAACTGTAGTTTAAACCTTCCTGACCAAAGCCTTGGATGTCCACTGCTCGTCTAGTGGTGAAGTGCGGAACTTGTTGGCTAATTGGAAAGAAACACACATGCAACGATGCATGGGATCCAATTCAAAATACATTATATCAATTTAACAATAAAATAAGAGTGACTTGTAATAGAATATAAACAATTAGGGTAGCTGCTCTTTGTGAGTTTAACATTACAAGATCCCAACTTGGAAAACTTCCAGTCAGACAATTTTGATACAAACGGATTAAAAAAGAAATTATATTCACTTAAAACTTCTTTTATTGCCAAATCTTCAGAGCATAAGAACATTGTATTTTATAACATTTTTAAGTAATAAAACCCCCCCCCCATAAATATAAAAACAAAGGGGAAAGTAAAACGATTGATCCCCTAGTTTTAAAAGTGGGAGAGCAAGTTTATATTTTTCTTCCCAATGATTTAGTCTCAAAAGATAGTTTACTGCCAACTAAAAAAATAAAATATGACATTTGAATCGTTTGGACCTTTGTTATGAGTCCCAGAAAGGAACCAGCCAGAATATTCGTTATTTTATGCATTTACTGAAAAATGGCTGCTGGATCATATCTCTGACTCCAGCTGTTCTCTGCCAGACTTTCTGAGCATATGAGCAGAAATTTAAAGATGGCTTAAAAGCTCAAGGGATCTACTTCTTTAAATACAATTTCACAAAGAAAAATCTTTAAGAATATTAAGAATTTTATGGACAACAGAAGACTGATAAATAATAACAGGGTGTCTTCAGTCAAAGGGTTTTCCAGATCCAGTGCAACACAGAGCGCTACAGAAGATTGTTTCTGTCCACAGCTATTGATGCATGCAACAATTAAGTTGAATTGAATTTAAGGATGGCTTAAATCACCTGATTTGGACCATAGGTCCCTAAAGGGTTAAAATCCCGCCTATCAAAGCCACAATTTATTAAGACAAACTAACAGGCTTTGAAATGTGACATGGTACGGTTGCAGCGATAAACTTTTTCTGTCTTTTTTTTCCTTACGTCTCCATAAACCAAATAAACACAATGACTGACCAACTTGAATAGAGTATAAAGCTAAATATAACAGTTATGCAATTAGCTGTGCAGCCGGTGATAAAAATTCCTTCTGAAAACTTATGAATCTGTTCCAGTATTTGAATCATTGTCTGTATTTCTAGGTATATTCTGTGAGAGACAGGAATCCAAGTTAGGAAATGTCGGCATGCTGTATAATTGAACATGTGGGTCATATTGAATGGTGGTGGTCCTTCAATTGAACTGAGTTTGAATCACTTGATCACTTTATCACTAACAAGGGGCAAATTTGCTTTTAATTAAGACTTTCTTACAAGTTTGTCTGTCCTTTTTTAAGCGTCTGGGCTGTGACAACATGCTGGACTCGTCTCAGCAGGAAGACCCCTGTCTGCAATGTGGGGGTAATGGCCGGTCCTGCTATCCCATCAAGAACACCTTCGCCGTACGCAACCTGCCAAATGGTAAGATCTTTAGATTAAATATGTGAACACAAACCTATTTTCTTGTATTAACATTTGTGCCAAAATCTAAATTCAGGGGACTTTGTTGTTCGAAAGCCTGGATTTAGGATTACAGAATTGGAATGTTAATCTGATTGTGTCAGTAACTAATCCTTGTGCTCTTGATTCTCATCCCTTCAACATTTACCGCATCCCGTTAAGCTAAAATTGCAACTTTCAGTCTACTTTTGTGGAATATATATATATATATATATATATATATATATATATATATATATGATGCAAAACTGGCAATTTGATTTTTTTTTTTATAAAAAGCTAGAATCTGAGTATTGTAAAAATGTCTGAACATTTTATTTGTTTATACTAAAAAAATGAATCCCCACAACATGATGCAGCCAACTCAATGTGTGACATATGTAATTGTGTGCTTGGGGTGATAATGCAGGGGTAGCTTTCTGCTTTATCTGTTTTGCGTGGAAACAAAAAAAAATAAAGCTTTAGGCGCAGTACTAGAAAAAAAATGGAAATTTAGGTCAGCATTCTTTCTCCCTGATGCTTCCACTACCTGGAATATCACTAACAGAAAAGAGGATTATTGCTCATATTCAGTATAGCACAGATTTGTTGATTTTAGGACAAATACTTTTCTTGTTGGTAAAACTATGAGCTACCATCACCATGTTCTCTGAGGCTTTGGACCCAGTGACAGGATCCAATGGCCACTTTTTTCCTGCAATGTGGAGCAAATCCCTCTCTGCTACATTCAGCTTCTCTGGACCCGCTGTCTGCTGAAGCCACATGCCTCCTCACCTCCTCCCACTCCCGCTGGAAATGCAACACCTGTTTTTAGAGAGCGCTGCTCATGATTGGCTGCTGCCTCTATTGCCGTGTTTGGTTAATGGCCAGAACTAGCCTGGTTCATGGTTCATAAAGGCTTATGTAAAGCCTAAATATTGTTTTTGTAGACCTCCAATCCTAAGTAAGTACAATTTAGCAGTCTACCAGTTCTGTCACCGAGCCCCAGGTTGCTATTAAGCTTAACCCTGTCTTTTTGCCAGATAGTGTCAATAAAATAAAGAAAAGAAAAATGCAGACTCTCTTTTCAAGATAAAGCTTACGTTGAAACTGAAAGCAAATTATAGACTGTTTAAATTAAATAGTTTGATCTATGAGGCTGATTATAGGCATCTTATGGGCCACCTGTGAGTGTGTGCATAGGAGTCATGAGAGGAACTTTTTTCTTATTCAATGAGCACATGAGAATGTGGGTCAGCGATGAGGGTCAGAAAGCTCTGAAGAAGCTGTTACTTCCCCACTGTTCAGAAAGGCCATTCAACTGGATCCACAGTTCTTTGTTTTAGGCGTCCTTTTATTAAACATTCTGTTAACATTTAACCAAGAAGCCACAGAAGCCCATTGAAAGTCATGGTTCTGAACGGATTTCAATGAAATTTTTACCAGAGGTGCGCCTCAGGATAATCCAGTTACAGATATTTTTAAAGCACTCTCTAACATTGTGAGATAGTGATTAATGGAAGTTTCCGACACCAGAGGGGGGCAGCAGTGGATTCCAACAGTCATGAACCAGATGTTTTAGTTATTAGTTTGTCACAATATGAGGTGAAATTTGCTGCTTGGTGGAGGTCTGTGCACTCTTAGTGCTTTTTTAACACTGCGATTAAATCACACATATGGGCTCAGTTAGTTAAATTGCTTCTATAGGCAGCTGGTTGCACATGATTATATGTATTGTTATTACAGAACATGGGGCTGAATCCATGTGCTGTAATAACATTTCATGACATTTATGTTTAAGAGATGTTTCACAAACCACTATATCAACTTAGATTTAGGCCAAATCTCAGTTTCATCTTGCTTATTTTGTTTCCTAACAATATCTCTTTAATGTGGTTGTTTCCAAATTTTGAAATGTTTCTTTTTCTCTCAGGCTACAACCAGATGTTCATTATCCCTGTTGGAGCCACAACCATCAGCATCAGAGAGAAAACAGCCACACGCAACTACCTTGGTAGGTCACTGACAACTGTTTGGAAAAACTAACGAGCATAAAGCAGTGGTGTACATTGAACCGTTCTGCAGAAGTCCATTCACACCTTTCTCTGCTCTACATGATTAGCCATCAAGAACTTGCGTGGCGAGTACTACCTCAATGGCCACTGGGTTATTGAGTTTTCCAGGGCCACCCGCATTGCGGGTACCATGCTCTACTACCAACGAGGGGCTGAGGGGGAAAGTGTACCTGAGACCATCATTGGCCGCGGTCCCACCACTGAACCACTTGTTGTTGAGGTGACTTTTATCCCATTTTATGTGTACATTAATTCTTGTCTAAGGCAGACTGATCAATGTGATTCTTATTTATGAGTTACTCCCTCTTCCCAGCTGATCAGCCAAGAGCCTAACCAGGGCATCGAGTATGAATACTACCTTCCAAATGGACGGTCCAGAGAGGGTTACTACTGGAGCTATGGATCGTGGTCTTCTTGCAGCAAAGAGTGTGGATCAGGTCAGAATGGAGCACTACTATTTTCTTTTTTTTCCGACTCTTAGGCCCAAAGACTGTGAAAACAAACAATTAATCTCTCCGTATCCCCATCAGGCTATCAGTCTCGCTTGGTTTTCTGCACGATTGACAATGAAGCCTACCCGGACTATCTCTGCGCTTCCTTGCCAAGACCCCAGTCTAACCGTACATGCAACCCCCAGGCATGCCCACAGACCCAAAGGTTAGTCATTATTTTAATGTGCACATTTGGTTGAAGATGATTAGTCATCCATATTTTTTTGTTTCAACTAATAATGTCCAAGATAGATTTTTTTGATTGTTTATTTATGCCTGTCTGAAAGGATGGCATACCTGTATCCACCTCAGTTGTGGAGATCCTCCATGAGACCCAGAGTGTTCAGGTAACTCAGGGTCTTTAGCTGTAGTGAAATTAAACTGAATGCAAACACAAAGGGGGAGATGAAACCTTTCCTTTTCTAACATTCCTACTAATCATTTTGGATTTTTTTTTCTCTGTAAATTGGAGATCTGGAAAAATGTAGCTAATATTTGGCTATAGACTTCCAAAATATGCTGCGGTAGACAAAAGCAGATTTATTAATCTGTTATTAGTCTGTTTAGTCGCAGTATCTCCCCCTTCGAATATGTTTGCAGGTAGTGCAGAGCGAAGTTGTTCCTCACTTTCACAGTCGCTTTACTCTTCTGCAATAAATCCCCTTTTTATCAGTAGTTCTTTAGGCTTTTAGTTTGTAGAGATTATAGTTTGTTTAAAGAGAGGGTTCTAACATGTTTCTACATCTTTCGATCTTTACGGTTGATTTCTTAGCTGGAGAACTGGTGAGTGGAACGCCTGCTCGGTTACCTGTGGTGGGGGCTCTCAGCTGCGCACCGTGCAGTGCATATTGCATGATGCCGCTGGTCCCCAGGTTGTGGAGGACGCCATTTGTGCCGCCTATGCTGATGCTCCTCCCTCTCTGCGGACCTGCAACATGCACAAATGCGCAGAGTATCGAGTGACTGGATGGAGCTCAGTGAGTGAACAAACACTGCAAACAAACTATGATAAATTAAAATAATCTAAGATTAGGGAATTTAAATCATTGTTTGGGCTACAGTAAAAAACAGATTATATTTTCCTATCTTTGTAAAATTTGATATTTAACTTGTCTGTCTGCAGTGCTCAGTGAGCTGTGGTACAGGTGAACAGACCAGAGAGGTCACCTGTGTGGGATCAGGTGGGGCAATGCTAGAGGAACCAGCCTGCAGGACTCTGCTTCGCCCACCTTCCATCCAGACGTGTGAGATGCCCGCCTGTCCTAAACAGATACGTTGGCATGTAGGATCATGGGGCCTGGTGAGTTGGATGCTAATATTGCCACGGGTGTCGGTTGTCTAGATTTTAACTCTGTCTTGCAGACTGGTCAGAGTTGGATGAAGATAAATGCAGTAGCAAATATGAGAACAATGCCATTTACTAACTAATTATTTTTTGCTTAAGATTTTATTAAAAACCAACTCAATGCAGTATACACACATAGTTGTTTCATATTTTATCTATTTATCTAATGACAAAATGGTGTTTCTGTTCCTCCAGTGCTCAAAAAGCTGTGGTTCTGGCTCACGAGAGCGTCAGGTGATCTGCTCAGACCAGGAGAGGAACCTCTATCAAATAGACCAGTGCAACTCCCACCCCAAACCCTCTACAATGGAGCGCTGCAACACCCAGCCATGCTTTAGACCACAGGGTAAATGCCTCAATAACATCTAAATTAGCACTGTATATTGTTGCCTGTTTTTATTATGCTCTATTATTGTCTTTTTTTTACCCCCATAAAAATACACATATTAAATTGTGATTAGATGTTTGTGTTCATTACATTTATTTTTCTTTAAATGAATACAGAGTATATTTTTCTTCAGCCCCTGCAATGATGCAGCTCTTAGTAACTGTCTAAAAGATTTATACTTGCTGACTTCCTAGCTGTTCTACTATTACCGTATGTCATGATTATATTTTACATAATAATTTCCTTCCCAGTTTAATGTAAATACTTGGAAATTTTAAAGGTTTCTGTACCTCAACCATCAGTTTCAACCTTACTGGGAAAGGTGAATCCCAGCAGTATTATAATAATTTCATGTTATTGGAGGCAGATGGTTTAGATGAGAGAGTTTTTGGATCAATTCTAACTTGACAGACCACTTTAATGCGCCTACGATGGAACAAATCAAGTTTCTGTGGCTTGATATTATTGTTAATGTATCATAAAACGAATAACGTATCATGATAAATGATGCATCTGTTAACAATTTTGTGTCTCTTCCTCTTCATATCTATTCTAGGCCTTTTGTTTTACAATTAAATGTTGCTTTTTAAACCTCAGGCCTATACAACATACAGATATCATTTCAAATAAACCATTTCAGGGTTATAGGCAACATGTTTGCAATACATCCCAGCTGTGGGTAGTTCTTTATGTTTTTTAAAGCCAAAGCTGGAAAGATTTGTGGTTGTGCTAGGAGTGTTGCAGTAACTTAGTCTGAGAAATGCCAGTTCTTTGTGGGCTTTATAAGATTTAAACCATTCTATAAAGCCAGTGTTGTTGGTTATTTTCTTTTTTAGTGCTGCACGCCTGATGGTAAAAATGAATCACTAAGATGTTCAAACTAAGATTTGTCTTGATCTGAGTAAAAACCTTTGGATTTTTTATTTATGATTATACTTATGAGCTAAGACCTTTGTGTACCTATACATTCCTCTGCACATCGGTTACGTTTGTAAAAAGGGTTCTCTTAGGCAGACCAAGTGGTTTTTATTTCTTTAATAAGGTCTAACAACAGAGTTGTACAATTATTTTTCCCTCCCTGTTGATTACTTGCAGTCGTCCCAAGCGTCCAGGACCCACAAGGACATGACAGCAGCCAGACCAGCTTCCAGCCGTATGTGCCAGATCATGCAACAGGTGACGCTCCATATAAGACATTTGTGGTTTCTATGATAAACCTTTTAACTGCTATTTATACTGTGTATAATTTTTTAATTAAACATTTTCCCCATGATACACAGTGAAGAATAAATGTGCAGGTCATTGCATAATGTAAATTTCAGCCTAAGAACGTCTTCAACTAATCCTCTCTGTTGATATAACGACTGCTGCTTGTCCCCAAATATTCCTCCACCTCTGACGTCACCCATCCATCCTCTCCCAGCACTAATTATCAAGGCCTAATGGGCATGTTTTCAGGACTCCATGAGCATTGTTGGTCTTATTAAAATATTCCAGAGCCACTGAACTGTGCCGTTCCTGACATTAGTGGTTCTGGAATGTTTAACACTGCGGGTGAAGATTCTCAGTTATCCAGGTCATAGTCATTCCAAAAAAGTTGAAAAGCAATCTATGCGCTGCCTCAGTGCTCAGGAATCTGAAATGCTTTTTTTTTGTTTTCTTCTGACATAGTTTCTGATCGCTGGAACTGATTGCAGATTTTTCAAAATTATTATTTTTTCCATTAAGGCATGTGTGAGTTTTTGGACTTTGGAGTTTGAGGTGTAGTTTGCTGTAACAGATTCTTGGTTTTGTCTCAGCCCACAGACCGGATACAAGAGATCCCACCCACATAAATACCGTGCAAGACCCTCACAGCTCCTCCGTGGCCCTCCACTGCAGCCAGTCCTACTATGGCTGCTGCCCAGATGGACGCACCTCAGCCAGGGGCCCCCAAGGTCTGGGCTGCCCACAGTCTCCAACTCCCACTCCTGTCCCGTCCTCCTGCATCCAGACAAGGTATTCTCCCACAACCAATTACTGCCTTGTGGTTTAGGTCACCATATGCAGGGAGCTCCTTTTAGGCTTGTTCTGGGTGTTACCTTTATGACTGGGTTACCACAGCAACCACACTTTTTGCATAGCCTAAAAAAAATCTCCACTAACCACAGTAAGCATGAATCTGTTGTTTTGCAATTTTTTGTGTTATTTCTGACTCAGACCATCTGTAATGCTCAATTTTCTCAGTCTGTTATTTTTGGGTTATATTTCAGTTATGGCTGCTGCAGAGATGGTGTGACAGCTGCTCAGGGTCCCAACAAAGAGGGCTGCTTGGAGTATGTGGCCCCTACACCCACGGTAAGCTAATTCTCCACATTTTTTAACCTGTTAGCTGAAAAAGACTTGTTGTTTATTCTTAAAAAATAAGTAAGAAAAGCCCATATCACAAATAAAAAGAAAAACAGGCGTTATTTGTCCTCAGGTTGCTCCTCTTCCAACTGAGAATGCTGTAGAGTGCCGCATAACCACTTATGGATGCTGCTTTGATCGGAAGACACCAGCAGGGGGTCCAAACGGAGAGGGCTGCCCCAACCCACCCAACCACAGTAAGAGACCACAAGGCTGAACATTATGTTACTACTTATTTTTTGTTTTTTGGGCTTATTTTTGAAAGAGAGTAAAATATGTATAGGTTATAGGGGGCTAAAAAGGAAAATCTTTGTTTTTGCAGTTGAGCGATCCATCTGCTCCCTGCCCCGTGCTGCTGGTTCCTGCAGCAGCTGGACCTCAAGGTACCATTTTGATGTCATCACCTCCAAGTGTGTCCACTTCTGGTATGGAGGGTGCCATGGCAACAGCAATAACTTCATGACCATAGCAGAGTGCCAGAGGGCATGTCAGGTTTCAGTGTCAAGCCAGAGGCTCCCTCAGCCTGCCACCCCTTTTGGAGAGTCGGCTTCAGCCAGAGAATCTTCCCCCGAAAGGACCACGTCTGGAAGAGCAGTATCTCCCTCTGCAGCGTCTCCAGATGCAGAGTCTCGTAACATGGGGCGCACTTTAACAACGCAGGGCAGCTCGTCAAGTGACACCGTCAGACACGGCACTAGTGCAGGCAGACACGCCCACAGAGCTCGGGTGTATCTGAGGGCACGTCGTCCTTCACGGGCTCAGCTCACAGGGCCAGCTGCGAGGTAAGAACCCCTGAAAGTCTGACCTCCAATCGTACCATCGCCGCCAGCTTCACAAAGCTGTTCACAGCCTTCTAATCCCTTCTGAAGGAGACCATGTTCACTTGGTGCTTTAAACCAAACGAATAAATGAACTGAAGGAGATCTGAACAAAGTTCAAAGACCAATCATGTCCTTTATCATTATGGATTAGGATGAGGACGTTTCTGTTCTATACTTATAAACGTCTGAAAAACCTTACTGTTTATAAATGTATTCTTGACCCAAGGGGAAATGACTAATAATTTAGAGATTTAGATATCTTATACAAGATTAAGAAGTTGTTTATAAAGTAAATATTCAACGCAAGTAAATGCAAGTAACCTGGATAAACATGCAAGTTTAACTGGTAATTCTATACCCTCTTATTTCTGATCTTGGAAGATATTTTTCTTTTTTTTATGCTCAGGAGACATATTAAACGCAAAATACCTCTTAACCTGTGGTAGACAGATTCCATGTCAAATGGAGAATAAAACTAAAAGACAGAACAATAAAAGGCTAATAGGACATCAGCTGATTTAGGTCATTCAAACCTACATTTAAAAAGCATTTATACCTATAGGATATAATGCTATCTTAAGACATATTAGATGTTAGTCTTAGTATTCCACCTCATTCACTCGGTTAGATAATTTCTAAACAGTTAATAGGCCTTGGAAAGCAGAGCAATGATCAATCCATGATGCTTGTCACCAAATCTAAATGTTTCATCTACTCCTCTTGGACCGTAGAGCCAGCAGAGTCATAGGAGGTCAGAAAAGAAAACTATTGTTTAAGAAAACTTCAAATTTTAAATGTCTATATTTTATATTTGGTCATAGAGCTTTGTATGCAAATAATATGGAAACTTTCAGAATAAGACGATTTAAATAGTTAAAAACATCTAAACTGTACTAGCTGTGAGCTTTTTAACTGTCCAATGATTTTGTCGTACTCTGAGTAAACTGAGTTAACTCTTTAACTACAGTTAAAAACTTAAGAATTGTAACTGAAATTATGATTAGTTTCCTCTTAGAGCTTAGGCAGGAGTTCCAACAGATTATAATGTTTGCAGACGATATTGTGATCTATAGTCGGTTAACATGATGTGAAGGTGCTTTTTCGTTTTATATCAAAAAGCTAAATTACTACCATTTTATCTACAATATACTCCTGTAAATCCTGTTTTATATTTTTTTTTTTTGCCACTCATCCTTTATGTTTCTTGTGATGCTATATAATCAACATGCTTTCCAGCTGCTTCTAGCTCTACACGCTACCCTTTAATTTTTGCTTATCGGGGACAGCGATTTCTGTTACTCTCTGTTTTAATGGACCATTCAGCTGTTAGATGCTTTTTATAGTCATTTCTGTTTGTCTGAGTTAATGTTGGTGCTTATCTGAGTTTGCTAATTCACTGTGTCTTTTGTCACCATCTCTGGGCTTTGTCTGTCTGACAGGATCAAACTAATAAAGCTTTAATTGTCATACTGTCATCATATGCGTTGTGGTGTCGTGTTTAGGGGCTTTTGGGACGTTTGTGGGGGATCATCATTGTTGGTTTTCAATTTTTTCCCTTCTATTGTCTTTGTTTACCTGTATGAGCCCAGTTTATGTTGTTGTGTTGCACAGTATGTTGCTCTTTGGGTGTCATTTCTGTCATTTCTTTGCTTTTTTTCTTAAAAACCTTAAAGCCAGGTTGGTGGCTTTCTTTATGCTTTTTTTTTAATAACCCAGCAGTAGAGCATAAAGTGAATTTCATTCTCAAATTTTCTTAAAAACTCTTCTCTCTGCTTTCTGATTCCTCCTCTCTATCATCCTTCCTTGTATTTCCTTGTGTTCCCACGTTCAGTTTTTCCCTGCCGAGTGTAAGTATTGATAAGAGCGACCCGGACCATATAGAAGCTTTGGTCGGCCAGACTGTGGTGCTGCCCTGCAGAGTCAGCCCTCCACCCTCATCTACCATCATCGTGGAGTGGAGAAGAGATGGAGTGCCTCTGTCGGCTCAAAGGTTCGCTCTACGCAAAGAAGGTGGATCAGTAACAGACGTCTCCTTAGTTAAGGCTAATCTGTGCCATTTTTTTTTTTCAGACATCACCAGCAGCCCAATGGATCCCTGTTAGTTGGCCCTCTAATGAAGTCAGACTCTGGTTGGTTCTTGTGCTTTGTCACTCATGAACGGGAGAGAGATCACCGCTACATTCATTTGTCTGTTTCAGGTAAGGCTCTTTATTCACAAAGAAAATAAATAAATAAAATAAAAATATCTATATATATATATATAGAATTTTACACAAACCAGATACCTGCTGACCTAGAACTCTGGAAAATATACATTATTTATAAATATATTATAGTTTTGCACCCTATGTGCTGAACTAGCATGTTTTGCATGCAGATTAGAAAGAAATACTGATACTTTTTTAAAATTTAAGTTATTTTCTTTAGGAATCTTCAAATGCTACAACTCTCCCACCATGTTACCAAAAAAATTGCCTATCAAAGACATCTAGAAAGTAAACTGAAGAACAAAAGCATTGAAATCCTTTAAACATGTTCTCATTTTGTCATACTGTTATACACTTTTGTGAATTTTATTTGGATTTTATGTGATGTACCATTGCTAGGCACAAAGATGAGGATATAAGCAAGGAAATTTAAATATGTTCATTTCTGTTCACTCAGAGATCCTTTTATCCATTTCCCTTAAAAATCACCTATTAGAATACAATTCACGTAATGAAATTATATCTAAAGCTTTAAGCATCTTACAGCTCAGGTCAGATTCCTACAATGAAACATGGTATTTACAGGGTCATGCTGTCGGAAAAAGTTAATAGTACGAGGGTGGCACTAAATACATACTGCAAAACACATTTGGAGCAGGACGGCAACCTTGGATATTAATCTCCAGGCTGGTTTCATTTCAAACATATTCTAGTGTTAAAATGGCCTAGTCAAAGTTCAGACCTTAATCATTTAATAAAATGATTAAGGTCTGAACTTTATGTTGTTCAGATGCCCTCCATCCATTCTGAATCTTTGATTTTTTGGAGCATGGGAAAAAATTCTGGTCTCTAGATACATGAAGCTGGTAAGAAAACCTCCTAAGACTTAGGACTGTAATTGTAAAGATTTCTAAGAATTATTGTCACAGCTCTAGAACAATATATCTCTTGTTACTGTAGGTTAAGTTAAAAGGTTATTCTAAAAGTTCTTTATATTGGCAAATAATGTTTTGTCAATGCATATAAAATTATTAAAAATGCAGCTTTTATTTATCCGCTGTAAATTCATGCTGTAATGAGTTAAATGTTACATATATAAAGGAATGATTAATCAAACTCATGGTCAAAATGTGTTTTTTTTTTATGTAGAGGCTTCATCTCAGCTCTATCCAACGCGCCTGCCTAAAGATGGCCCAATCCCCAGGTGAGAACCTCCAAACATGAACTCAGTGTACGTCAGTACTCTGTTGTGTTTCTAATATCAGTTCTCTACATTTGACTTTAGTATGTGAAGAAATTTTTTTTTGCCTTTAAGTTCTTGTGTTGTTTTTCAGGTTCACTATTGATCAGTCAAGCCCATCATCAATAGAAATGCAAACAGGACAAACTTTAAGACTCCCCTGCACCATCCTTCCAGCTGCAGCTCTGCAGTCTGTCAGTATTCAGTGGACCAAAGACGGAAGAACCCTCAGTGACTCCAGGTATGTAGTGGAGATCCCACTTCTAGTCACATCCATGACTGTTACCATAAACTTAATTCTGTATTTGCACTGCACCTTAAGTTGCCTTCCAAATACAGGGTTTTAAATGTTAGTTGCGTTCTTTTAAACCAATCAAAACAAAGATTTACAGATGGAGAAAGATAGTTTTGAGATCATTCTAAATATGCAGTTAATGTAACAACATTTTGTGTGATTCAATTCAATTCAGTTTATTTATATAGCACCAATTCACAACAGATTTCATCTCAAGGCACTTTACAGTTCACCAGATAATACACTCAAATTGATTCAAAGTTTCTATCTAAGGAAAAGCAGTTGATTGCATCGACTCATTGACTTGAATGCAATCCCTCACACTAAGCATGCTTGTAGTGACAGTGGAGAGGAAAAACTCCCTTTTAACAGGTACAAATCTCCAGCAGAACCAGGCTCAGTGTGAGCGGCCATCTGCCGAGGTTGACTGGGGTTCAAGGAGACAGAAGCAGATACAAAAAGAATCAGA